GACAGTCAGTCCTTTATCACCAAGTCCGCTGCAGGATGGCCATCCTCTTCCTCATCGGCCAGAGGATGGAGAGCCCCGAGATCATTGACGAGCTGCTGGATGTGGAGAAGAACCCCCGAAAACCGCAGTACAGGTACGGAGAGCTCGGGAAAACCTCCCGGGCCGCTTCTCAAAGCGACGGCTGCGGGCAAAGTGCTGCCAGCGAGCTACTTCCCTGCCAGCCTGCGAAGCAGTCTCTCACAATACGGAAGCGAGCTGCCAGCGGCCTCTCTGGGAGATATCTGTAAGGATCCCAGTTTTCTTGCTCTCGGACAAACTTTTGCTGGCTTTAGTCCTTGGTATTTGGTTAAAACTAATTCAGGTTTTATTAGAAGAGGAAGTTCTGCAAAAGGCAGGGCTGGTTCTGGCAGAAAGGACAGGCTGATGCGCTGCTGCACGAGCCTTTTTTGTCACAGCGTCCCTCCAGGCAGCGACAGCTAACGCCTTCTCTCCTTTTCCCCTAGCATGGCAGTCGAATTTCCCCTCGTCCTGTATGACTGTGAGTTCGAAAACCTTCAGTGGCTCTATGACCGAGAAGTGCAGGAGTTCAATGTTACCCACCTACAGCAGCTCTGGGCCAACCATGCTGTCAAAACTCAAGTGCTGCGTAACATGTTAGGAGGGTTAGACGCTGCTCCCGTGGCTACTGGAAAAAGTAAGGGATGGTTTTGCGGCAATACCTTGGGATGGGGGTAACTGGTTTCAAAAAAAACAAAAAAAGGATGAAGGAAAGGGGTAATTAAATAGATTGTTTGACCCACTGGTATTTTTTTCAATCGTATCGCAGGCCCAGGGAACAGCACAACCGTCCGCTGGGGAGATACGAAGCCTGCGTTCTGCAGCCAGGTCAGCGGCTTCGTGGAAGGCGTCAAAGCCCGCACCTACAAGCCTTTACTGGCCCGCCCCAAGTGCGAGGGGCTGGAGGCCCGCATCCGGCATTTTGTGCGGAGAGGCCGCATCGAAACCCCCCGGGGGCTGGAGGTGGGGGCGGCAGGGGACGAGCAGCCCCCTGAGACCAAGAGGAGCTATGGCAGCGATGCCCCAGGGAGCGGCGGTGCCACGGAGCAGCCTCCCAAGCGGGTCTGCGTAGATGTCGAGTGACAGGCTACCTCGGTGGGACAAGGGCTGCTTGCCACTTTGCTTTTTTTTTTATTGGAGGAAAAAAAAATATGCAATTTTTCAGTGCTATTTTTTTATAAATGTCAAGAAATCCTGCAGAGTGGTGGCGTGCCCTGGCCTGGGAG